CGGAATGTACGGCCTACATTTATCCCAATCTAGGTCTCACCTATTCTGTAGGCTTTTGGCTGTCGGGCAGTGTTATTGATCCCTGAAAGCTACTGAGTGGAGCTACGTGCGTCGATATCCCGGGCTCCATGGGCACGGAGCTCCGATGTCACACAACGGTATGCTCGGATTCTCAGAGGTTCGGGCTTTGACGGATAGCTGTCGCACTTCTGAGGGAATTATGTCAGTGGAACCTCGAGCTTCCGAGGGATGGATTCTCCAGGATCGAGCAAGTGACTTCCCGTAGGGTGAAGCTTCAATATGGTCAGTCTGAGTTCGAGTGTGATGCGTAGAGCGCCCAATGTTCTCACCTTCGTCGCTCCGAAATTTTTCCATCTAACGAAAGATCTCTGTCCTCCGTCGCCATCGGGACATGTATAGCTGTCAGACGCGTCTCAGTGTTAGAGGTGTCGAATCCCATCAAGAAGATCAGTCTCCACATGCTCGCGGGTGTGGAAAGATCTGTTCTATAACTTCTCTCGGGAGATCATAGACGGGGAGATTGGGATGCAGCCGAGCTCGGCTCATCGGCCAGAAACTACATAGTGGATTTCACCGGAGGCTCTCTTTTCGAAAAATCCCCGGGCGAAAAAAACAGTCGAAAGCGCCTGCATCTCCGGAGCGTATGCAAAGCGTTAAATCAGTGGGGATCCGATGTCGATCATATCTTTCGATTCTGGGTTCCGAATAGTTTACGGGGTCGCTGGCATCGGAGAATGCAAATGTTCAAAAGCAGAGCGGCTCGGCATCTCATTCCCCGGGGGCGAATCGCGAAGGACGCCATTACGGGATCGAACTCATGCATACGAGCCGTAAACATTTCAAGAATGAGGTCATTGCGATACAAACGTATTATCACAATACGCTGTGCGTCACTTGGATATCCGGATTTTCAACTTTGATCACGAAGCTACTGTCTCGACAAGAAACATTACCTATTCCATAAAGGGAGGTAGAGACATGATTGTGAGCAGGGATGGAAGTCGACGAACTTGAAATCGCTCCTACAATGTTTGTGGTCTTAACAATGTGAAATTTCTAGTCTGGGAAGAATGGCTGAAATCAAATGATTCCAGCGGTCGTCACAATCAGAACGTCTACACAGCCCCTACACACGAACGAAAAATACTCACGCTTATTCTGCACATCCGTCGTGACGCCGATTCTCACGCATACGTATGTAAATGCAGAAGCTTACTGAGCGAAGAGCTTAGGCAATTATATGAGCATGCGAGGAATTGAGTCACTACGATAGCGAAAGCCGATTTTGAGGATGAAACAACCTCTTCCGGAACTCCTTCGAGTGGAAAGTGCGAGAATCGCTCGCACGTCGATGACAAAATCGACTGGTACCATCCCTCCATAAAATTGTGCGCAAGTAATCGGAGAGCGAAAACAGTATGATGCGCGTCAATGTATCATAATTTCCTTGTCTTCCTCCAGCTCGGGACGCGAATATTATTCCAACTTGGGCGACAATTATTTCGAGCGCCCATATCTGATATCTGAGGAAGCCACTGACTGAGTGCTTGAGATATACGCAGCAACGCAGCAGAAACGTGAATCGTTCGGAGCGGATGTAACCGTGATTCGGTCGTATTTAGATGCAAGTGGGCGCGGGAGCTCAAATCCATCCGCTTTAGTCGACGATTTTCCATCGAGGCGGCCATTAAGACGAGCAGCAGCTCTGTTTTTTCTTCTGACGGTATCGTGACCTACGACCCTCGAAAATCGCATGCTGCTCGCTATCTGTGTTCTGTAAGTCTGTAGGTCCTCTCGGCGGCGATTTTTTTTTACTCGCATCCGGGCAGATGCGACACTTCGGTCCCTGGGAGTGTCGTCTCTCCGCGTGATGTCTTCAATCGGCCGCCGCAGATAGATCACCGAGTAGCGTCGGAACGAGCCACCAAGCTAGCGCCCGGGAGAAAGCCCTAAGGGTGGTGATTCCTAAGGGATCATTCGTTCGTCCGCGCGGCCTGCTGTTTACTTGCATGGTGGCTCTGCGACGGCGCAGAAAATAGGTACGGCAGCTCGTAAATGACTCAAGAATCGTGGATAGTCTGAATCGACTTTACGTAGAAGTCACGTTCTCAGCGCGCGGAGGCACACATGCGAGCGGAAACTGACGCTAAACTAATTTATGAAGTTCGGTCATAACTAACAAAATTATTCTGCAAAGTCACTCAACCTCTGGAGAATCGTCTTGGAAAGTCGGAACGAATTATGGCTCTAATTGATTCAAGAAAGACGCCGGTCTGTTGGAGCCAAGTGTCGTGACCACTCCAGCGCCAGGAGTACCAACACGATGCGGAATGGTGCTTCCAAAGACACCGATAAATCTTCCTTCAGAAACTTAGCCTGGTACAGAGGTACTCCGGCTCTCACTGTTACAATAAAATGTAGGTGTCATCATTCCCTGAACGGTTGGGCCCGCGAGAATCCGTCCGAGGATTGAATTATGAGTCGGATGTACCCGCGGGCCGAACTTGTGCGCGGGAACGTTCCGAACGACTTTGACTCTTCCAGAGCTTGATAGACATCCGAGGAAATCTTATCCACCAGATCAGGGGACACGAATCCTGAAAAGTCGAGAACAAGGAGAACGACGAGCCTTCCTTCCCGAGCATGGAGCACTGAGGTCGAATAGGGCTTGAGTTCCCTCTGACGGAGGCCACGCCACCTCGATTCTCACCTGGCGAGGATGTGCCAGGGTCTGGAACTCGACAGAAGCGAGTCAAACATCTCAATGCTGAATTCAGTTCGAATTCAAGTCTTGGGGCTCTTGAGACTCAATTCCGAGCCTTACAATTAGATACCCCCGAATTGCATCAAAAGCTTCGTCCGTGATGGCAGATGCCATCCCTGAGAGTTGAATGGTCCAGGCTTGAGTACGCCAAACAGAAAGCGTGCACAGTCCGAGTTCTCAATCAGCTGATGTTAGCACGCTACTCATGAAGAGAGAGTTCATTCTCTCCATATGTCAGGAGAGACGTGCCCTGAAAGACAACCCGGCGCTGACATTCTCTAACAGACTTTTTTGTACGAACAGGATGGTCTGTCTTTGTGTGTCAGAAAAACCGAAAATCGCCACGATGTTATAGTAAGCGGGACGTGATCGACGGAAGTGGCGCTGCAATCAGGATGAGACGGAGCTCGCACGTATCATTCCAGACATGCGTGCGGATTTTTTCCATGCCCCCAAGATAGGAGAAAGGAGAATATGATACACTTAGCCTTCGATTCTCTATCTACGTAGCGACGTAAGCGAATCGAAGGCCGACGCGTCGGCTCGTGTTCCCAAAGGGAGAAGGGAATCGGGCGGAGGGACAGGCTCGCTCCAGCTACCGAGGCTCCGAACGTCCATAAGTCTGACACGAGCCCTGACCAGCCTGGGGGAATACACGCGGAGAATCGCATGGTGATGGTGCAGGGAGACTCCGAAACCCGAGCGATCGTGACAAGTGACAGCCCCGTCGGAGGACCGAGAAATCTCAGCCGTAACATTTTTGCTCGAGATCTAAGTAGAGACACGTGTCTAATTTCTATCAGAGGCTGCCGAATGACATACTGAACGAAGCAGGCAGATGGGCATCCCTCCGACCTCTGGTACCGGAGTCTGTCTTCAGGCCTTCTCTTCCGTAACGGTGAAACGGAGTACCCGGATCTGTTTCCGCGCTACTTTGGGCTTTCCGACGGTAGGTGGCGCTCTTCCAGTGGTTGGTGGGAGAAGCACCGTTCAACGCTGAAATACGGTACCCGCTCAGATCAGTGTGTGATGGCGTTAGCGTCGGACGTCGTCTCGGACGTCGGTGGTGAAGAGCTCCTCGAAATGAGGGTCGCGAGCGCGGATAGAGATTCTCCGAGCGAGTTATCCTCCTCGCTGTCAGAGAGCGAAGAAGACGAGGTCGTCGCTTCCTGCAGAGAATTCTACAGAAGACGTTTAAGTTCTAAATGGATAATCCGACCCCAGGAGGAGGACGGAAACCTGACGGAGAGCGAATCGTCCGACAATCCCGAGTCCATCCACGCAACCAAGTGCCACATCGAGTCCGATCACGACTCCGGTGTTGAAGTGCTGAACAGAGCCTCGAGCAACTCGTCCGTCGAGGAGTCCGGACGATCACAGTGTGTGTCTGAGGAGGATAGTTCGAATAGAGAAAGTCACAAGCGAACAGAGGATACGCCAGTCTTGATACAGTGTCACGATGGATCATCGAATGTGCAAAGTGACGGAACCGCGTGCAGATTCGAACAATTACAAATTCGACGTTCGAGTCTCCTGGATGAAATGGATGCCACGACATCGAAGTTCGCTTCTAAGATGAACTTTCTCAAAACACAAATCGTAAGTATGAATCGAAAATTCTCGGCATCCACTTCCCCCTTTCATGGGGCTGCGTGTGGGCCGTGCGTAGTCGTCTTCTTCTTCGATCGTCTCCCGATCCACTGATAAGATTGAATCCTCAAAGATTAGAGTTCACACGGTGAACGCGTGATCCGAATCAGATTTCCGCGTGTCGGACCAAGGAGACACAATGGTGTATCGGCATTGAAGCACTGCGAAAGCTTGAATTCCGGTCGACAGCGCCTTGTTCGGCTCCGTGTGCGCGCGTGGTGACCCTGTCCCCATCTAAATTAGTGAAGCCGCTGATGTCCGCTCGACTGTCACCCAAGAATGTTGACAGTCGGATCAGGCTTCTTAACCCTCTGAGCACCCGATGGGCGAAGAGCGACGCTTTCGACACAGCTCCTTTCTAGTGTGAGCTCGTCTTCCTTTTGCAAGGAGGGAAAGGCGAAAGTAATTGTACGCGCGTGTATCGTGATTTCGTATCCGGCTCGACAATTCATGTGTCCTGGGGTGGATCTATAGGGATCATAAGTAAAGAAGAGAGAGGAGGGAGTTAAATAGCGCATTTGCAAAGCATGGGAGGTTTTTCCGAGTTCGGCATGACACTCGAGCTCTCACATCTCACGGCACTAGGAGTCCCAAGATAGGTCAAAGCATCCCGAGGCCACGATGAAGACCTGAACCGCCGCCAGACTCGCAGCGAGAGTGCATCCGATTGGAATGATTCCACTCGTGGCATACCTGCTCGTCTATATGTATGGCTTCATTCTTCTTCATTCTCCTTCAAGTCTTATCTTAAGCTATCGAAAGTGAGGTCATGTGGCTTTTCTTGAAGCATACAGTTGGTCGCCGCGGCCGTTGGAAGAACAGACGAGCGGGCGGGCCGGCCGGCCGGCCGACTGCCAAGCTCAGACTTCGACGCTGACGATAAGGCAGACTGAGCCCGAGCGAAAGATGAAAAAGTCGGTTTATCTGTTGGTCTGTTTGTCGGTCATATTTATGTTGTCGTCTTGATTACGTGAGCTCTTACGGTCGATGGCTGTCGCATTGTTGGAAACGAGGTTTTCGAAGTAATAGCCGTGTGAGTGCCGTCGGCTCCAGGGGCTGGAACACCCCCGCAAACTGATTTTTCGCGAAGCTGCTTGAATCTCGCGAGAATCTGTAGAGTTGGCGGTGCGCCGACTGGCAAGTGCATAGACGACGCTGATGATGGTGATGGCGTTGAGCAGTGGCAACGGCCCAAACGCTCTGGAGGAAGAAGGACGCTAACCGTGGGGGAAGTCAAGCGGAAAACTGGAAAAGAAGCAGACGTTCCCTAGAACTTTGAAGCGGTCAGCCGCGGGTACGCCTTAAGCTGCATCTCCTCGTTCGCTCTCAAGTATTCCTTTGATTTTCTGGCCTTAACGAGGGTATCCGCTCGCTTCCATAGATGCGAAGCTGTGTCTTCAATGAGAACATACAGAAGAATGAGAGTCACAACGATCGTGGAGGAAAATGCAGGTTCGATAATTCTTAACGCGCCGAGAGGATTTGCCTATCCGGTCCATGGAGAGAGCTCATGAATACGCACGGGAATGAATACAGACGGACGGATGAAAGCCAATCGTAACAGAAGAGAGTCTGGATAATGATGCAAAGTCATTGGAGCGCTGCCGATACAGCCCAGAAACGTCGCTCTCAGGCAGTGTGTGGAAGACGCTCTTGAAGAGCTCCATGTTCGAGAACTCAGCGGAGAAACCGCCTCCGACGAGCCTCGGACCTATCAGGGGGGAATTCAATGGTCTTTCCGGATGGATAACTCGGGAAGAGTTTTCGAAAACCCTCTCGTATCTCCCATGATATGGTTTCCATTCTTGTCGTAGTGCGTGATACCAATCGGGATTGACAGCTCGACACCGAGGGAATCCGGATCCGAGCCGACCCTGTAGTTAGACGGAAAATAGTTTTTGATCCGAATTGTTACGCGCCTCGCTGGATAATGCATTTGTCAAGGTCGCAAACGGAAGCGAAACTTTCGCCCGAGTCCTGCTGCTAAGTTATCGATTCCGCTCAGCGGATCCGATTAATTATGCGGTCGTTGTTAGCCGCTTATAAACGGCGGACAGCTCGTCCGTCTCTCGCAGTCTGTCCGTGCGTCAGTCTGTCGGTCGGCCGTTTTTTCGGTTGGTTGGGCTTGCAACTAGAATGAGCGAATAAAAGGAGAGATGGGACACAATGCTCAGCTGGATGGAATAGCTAGGCAGCTATCGCGCTGGGTGGCTGACTGACTAGTTTCCTTGGCTCGAGTACCTACCTTGAAGGGTCTGCGCGTGGATGTTGAACTCAGCCGTCCATCTATTCGTCCGGTCGGTCGTCTATCCACGTTGGGAGACTCCATTGTTCTGGGGCAGATCACGTAGCGGTCCATGAGAGATTTGTGTCGTCGCGCCGCCGTCGAGCTGCCATTGTTGCTTTTGCCATTCTAATCAACTCAATCGAAAGGGAGAAAGAAGAAGAGACAAGTCGGAGAAGAAGAATGGAGCGAGAGCTTCCGTCTCGAGGAATATTCGCTATCTTCTTCCGATGTGAGTCTCATTTATGACAGAGCAAGCGAACCTGAGCTCCGATCAGTGTTATGAGCTGTGTCATGTAATACGACTACTGGCGACTAATGAATTCACTCGGTCTGAGAGTTTCGATTCGGCATAGGCACCGATAGTGCGGTATCTTATCGGGGCTCTCACTAGCGTTTACCAACTGTCGACACATGGATTCGCAAACGGCAAGCCGCCCACGAGTCGTACAAGCCTATTCGTCGGGTCGAACTCGTTAGGCAGAGATTCTGCCATCCGCACGGCCCCGGTCCAGCCTGATTCGTAATCAGCAATCAGGGACCCCGATGAGTTCGAAAGAGGCGAAGTGAAGAAAGGAAAATGAGATTGAAAAGAGCCTAAAATTGAAAAATCACATTAAGCCTGTTACGGAGCTGCTGCCTTCCGATTCTGCCGATTTAAGACGATGTTATCTCCGACAGCCTGGCCAGCGGCGGCGTGGTGTCGACGATGTCAACAGATATGTACGTATAGTTAGCGCCATTTTTGTGTGAGACGGCGTATTATCATCCAGGCACGCGTATACGCCATTCGCTTTATTATCCACAGCAAGCGGTGTTTTCCCGAAGCGGCATATTCCGTGTAAAGTGCCTTATAACAAATTTTCGATCGGACTATTTCATAGGATTTTTGTGTGCTTCGTGATTTCCAGCTCTTGGCTATGGTGTGCGGCCTTGGCGATCGCGCTTACTATCTGGATTGCATGGATTCCTTTCTTCATTGATTTACCATCGGTTGAAGGAGTAGATACGTATGAGCGGCGAAATACGTGCTGTCTCCGTCTTTATCCCCTCTGGGCGTCTTTTTACATCGTCTCTGGAAAACCTCGCTGCTCCATTAGTCTCTGCCGCACCTGAGGGCCTCCATCTGTGGGTATCTCATCATCCTCACGTTCTATGACGATGGAATGCACGGGCGAACAACAGGCTCGGTCACGCTAAATTGATTCGTTTTTTTTTGTGACGGAGATTCGCTATGGAGACGTGCCGTGATAGAGCTATTCTCTACTGGAGTCGATTGAGATTCCTCCGGAGATGCTTTGAATATTATCCCGTATCGCTCGTTTCTTCGCATCTTTCGAGAGAGCGTCGGCGTCGCTCGGACGAGACCTCTGATGAGGTTCGTGTCGAATGACGTACGAGATGATAGAAGAACGAGAGGAATGCCACGCTTTCCCCGTAATGCTCATGACCGAAGTTCTCCCATCGTCGCCTGACAAGACCGAATCGTCGCCCAGAAATAGAGGAAAAGTGAGACGTTTCGATTTTTTCTTTGCTTTCCGATGGGTGCCCTCGCCAAGCTCTCAACGACTCCCGTGGCGACGAAACTAGCGACTCATTTTCGCTCGTATCAATGGTGGCCGTCTAGTCTTTTTTCCCGAATTCTCGCACACCTTTCCTCTGGCACAGAAATGATGCGACTGGGAATGAATTTCGAATGGTCTTGACGCCATTCCATCATTTTTGCCTCCGCCACCCTCGACCACGAACGTAGGAAGAATTGAATGAAGAAGCATCGCCGAGCGAAACCGATAGAGGACTTCCGATAGGGCAAGACACCGAAAGAGGCTCAATGGAAGGAAATCTTCTGAAATATGCGAAGGGAAAGAACGAATTGGAGGGGAACGTGTCCGGTGAATCTGTCCGTTCCTCGCTAGACCGAACAAGATGGACGAATCGAGCAATGAAACGATCGATCCATCCAAACGACGTTCGAAGTCCCGCTCGCTCGATCGATCGATCCATAGCGGTTGATGTTCGGAAACGTGGTCGTTGCGGTGGTCTTGAGTCAGAAGTTGTCGAGGTACCGTAACGATCAGGAAGAATATTCTTCTTCTCCTTCGACACTTGAATGTCCTACCGCCACAAAAGAAAGTGATTCCTACCCTTACCCGTGTCCGATCGACCAGGGCCGCACTCTCGTCGAACTGACAGCTAATCCCAGCCTGTGACCGGGTTCATCTTTTTCGAACGGGCGCGCCGCCCTCGTCCGGCTGTCCTACTGGCTGACCGACCGACTAACTGACTGACTGACTGACTGGCTCTCTCACCGATAGTCTAAGTTAGTAAACGTTCTTTTAAGACCTGTCCGCCTCGCAGTCAGCGGACGAGAAAGTCTAACTAAGGAACGAAACGCGGGCGAGCTTTGCGGTACGCGGTTCGTTCTTCACTTTTATTGGGCTATTGTATGACTGTGCAAGGCCTGAGGTCCTTGTGCTATTCGGCAAATGGACAACTAGACGGATTTCTGGCTGAGCTTATCCTTCGGTGATCACCTTGCTCTGATGCCTCGATTGGCCGAAGATTAAAAACGCCGTGCTCGTCGTCGTATTCACTGAGGGAAGAAGCCGTCTGGACCGCCGCTTTCGTTGTTCCATTTATCTATAGAATAACTGAGGGCATCTCT